TTCTAAGAGTCATCAGGAGGAGGGTACTCTAATTGTTATACAGACGAGGAAAATAAAAGTCTTAAGAGTGTCAGTAACCCGGCCACAGACAACCAGAGAGTGTAAATGCTGGGATTCAAGTCTGCATCATCTGACTTTCGTTCAACAAACCCCATACTTTGCTCTATTTTTCTCCTTAGCACTAAGACTCACACTATGCCTTGCTTAGTATTCGTCTGTCTTCCTCTTCCCAACAGATGGGAACTCCAGGAGGTCAGGGATTTTCGTGTTTTTTTGTTCTCTGGCTCCATCCCCTAAAACAGTGTTTGGGATATAATGGATGTTCAGTGGGCTGTACGAATTAGGACGTATCTCTTAACACCTCTGAGCCTCTCCTCGATAAAGGGAGGATAACAAGAAAAACTACCGCAGAGTTGGTGCTAGACCTGAGTAGCCGAGGGACATAACTGCCCTGGGCAAACCCGGATAAAAAGTCCTCTAGACATAGACGCCCCCGGGGCCTAACTGCAGGTGCTCCGCCTCCCTCGGCCCCAGACAGCCCTCTCCGGGCGGGGGCCGGAAGTGCAGCCGCTTCCGCCAAGCGCCGCGGGGCGGAGGGACGCGCGGAGATGACGCAAGCAGCACCGGAAGCCGCTCCCCTGTGAGGCTGCGGACCGGGAGCGGCGGCCGTAGGTCCAGGTCTGTGTGCGGGGCGGGGCCGGTTGGGGAGGGGGCTGTCTGGCACCCGCGCCTCTGCTGACCTGCCGCGCCTCGGGCTGTTTGTCTTTCTCTTCCCGCAGGCGCCATGGCTGCGGAGCGGACCCGGCCGCTGCGAGGCTTTGGCGGCCCGAGCGCACCTAGTCGGTGTGAGCCCGGCGCGAGGTCCCGGGCCCCGGGGCACTCGCTCAGGTCAGTGCCGCGCGGAACACGGCTCCGGGAGCAAGGGACCTGGGAGCGACGAACGGGTTGAAGGGATCTGGAGTTCATTTTAGAGATGGGAAAATAGGGTCTCAGAGTTACTACTTGTAGCGCCTCAGTTTCCGTAGATGCAAAATGAGTTAACGATGTCCTAGGGTTGCCGTGAGTCTGAAAGATGATGAAGTGTGGTGAGGTGATTTATGAAGTACAAAGTGCTGTACAATGTGAGGGCCTGCTCCATAATTGTGGGTGTGCCATGGAAACAGGTGTGTATGTGGGCTGCTGTTTGAAGTAAAGCAGAGATAACAATGCTAAATAATAATGGTGACTGAGGTTTATTTTAGGCTTATAATGTGCTAGGTGCTTTCAATCAGTGCATTATCCTGTTTAACGCTCACAAAACCCCTTGTAGGTAAATGGTGTTCGTAGCTACATTTTGCAAGTGAGGAAACTGGGCTGGAGGATAGGTGAACTGTTTGCCCAGGGTCACCCAGCAACAAGTGGAGTTGCAGAACCCATATTTTATAAGTATTATTTGTATTCTTTCAAAGCTTTAAAAATTCTTAAAACTGAAGGCTTTTTTTTTTATAATGTAGTATATTCACGTTTTAAATTTTAAAAAGTTTATAATAAAATAGGACTCTTTCCCTACCCCATATCCACAGCTGTCCAGTTCTCTCTGAAAGTAACCAGTGTTATCACTTTCTTGAATATTCAAAATATATCATATGCATGTGTAAATTTATAGGTACATATACATTTTCAAAGTCTCTGTGCTCTTTGATTATGCTTGATAAGAAAAGAGAGGAAAGATGAAGTGTCCTCTTCCTTGACAACAACAGATAATACTGCTTTCACTCTTAATAAGGTTAGATTCTCATGAAATAGGAGGTCATAAGTCTAAACTGAACTCTTTGCTTTATTCAAAATGTCATGTCTTTTATCCAGAATGCCTTGTCTCTAATAAGACTAGAGATATAGGTTTGATTTTGTTTTGGGAGGGTGAGGACTGGGCAAGATGTTGAACCTGCTACTTCCTATTCAACTCTGGGAAAGCCACTCCATTTCTTGAGATGTAAATTTCCTTATTAGTTAAGAGTAGTGTCATTGATACCTTCCATGATTTGAAGGTCAAATGAAGTGCTATTTATGCGTAGTACTTTAGTCTTTAAAATCAGTATGGATATGAGCATTGCCTAAGGGAAAGTAGGGAGATAATAACAGAACCAGAGACCAAACCCAGGCTCCCATCTCCCAATTTAGGAGTCTTTTCATCCCATGGTCCATTTCCTCAGAATTCTGTGACTGCTAACATGTAGAGTAAGAGGGCAATTGTAATGTTTACTCTGAACCCAGGTAGGTACTGTATTAAACGCTTTGAGTACATTTAGTGTGAAGAATAGGATGTGGGTAGGGTAAGGAGAAAAAGGCATCTAAGAGGAAATCATAGCCTCAAGGCAATAATTGCCTTAATTATGCAATTAAACCCCTAGTAAATTTGAGCCCTTGAGTTTTTCTTCCAGATATTTTTAGAATACCTTTGTAAGATCATAGGGTTGAAAGGGATATTAGTGATCATGTCCCTTTTAGCCTCAGTGCCACAAAAGGCTTTCCTGCCAGATATTCATAAGAATAAAACCTACAAAAGTACCATTTAAGTTACCCTAGACTGGGCACTGTGCTAAGTAAGCATGCCCCTGCTTTATGTCTGAGAGTCACAATCCTCAAGTTCAATGATGACAAAACTAAAGGTTAAAAGTTAGTTGAACATGCCCATGATCACATAGTAGAAGATTTGACGGATTTCCAAAGCATTTTCATATATCCCATTCTGTCTCTGTGTACAATTGTCCTTGATTGTTTACAGTAATGGGAAACTCACCCTCTGGAAGCAGCTATTCCATTGTTGAAAGGTTGTCTCACTGAAAAGCTACTCGTGTCATGTTAAATGGAAATCCCATTTCCTGAAGTTTCCCCCTGGGAACCTTGTGCTACCAGTATGTGATATTCTTCAGGGTTCTGTAAAAGAGTTCAGTTTAGACTTATGACCTTAAGAAAGTCCCCTCCAAAGTTACTTGATTCTTTTAGGGAAAAAAATATGCCTTTATAATAATCATAGAAGAAGTGGAAAAAGCCTCCTACTAGGTGTTCATTAGCTTAAAGGCCAGTCTGAATGATAAGAATTGGGGGAAAAAAGATTTTTCTTTTTTTAAACAATGCCTTGCTCTGTTGCCCAGCCTGGAGTGCAGTGGCATCATAATAGCTCACTGCAACCTCAAACTTCTGGGCTGAAGCAATCCTCCTGCCATAGCCTCCCGAGTAGCTGGGCCTGCAGGTACATGCCACCATACCTAGCTAATTTTTTATTTTTTGTAGATGGGGTCTACAGGCTGTTCTCAAACTCCTGGCCTATAAAAATAATTTTTTATTATGAAATAGAATATATAAAAGTAACTGAGCTTTTTAAAGATGCTCACTGGAAAGGTTGGTCTATAATCTTTAGTAAATGTCATGGGCATGTTATTTGGCATGTTGTAGGATGTGTCTTAGATATTGGTTAATAATGGGAACCTGATAATGTTTGAATGGGTATTTCAAATTTTCCATGAGGCCACTTCAATAACAATTCAGCTCACATAAAATAATAAGCATTTCTACAGCAGTTGTGTGTCATAGTGTGCATATATAGATGTGATGGAGAAGTCTCCCATACTTTACACTGTAAAATGTGATTCCAGGGCAGGTGATTTGCTGTTTTTAATTAGCCAGTATTAACTACCTGTTGTGATATTGTACAGATGCCCACAGAAAAAGGTTGTTTTGTCTTGTTGTGAATGATTAGTTTTAGAAGTAGAGATTTTCCAGAAGTGTTATACATGTATATCAAGGTCCTCAAACTTTTTAAACAGGGGGCCAGTTCACTGTCCCTCAGACCGTTGGAGGGCCAGACTTCGGGCCCTGGGATGAGTCAGCTGCTAATCAAGACAGGCAGCAGCGGCAAAAACACTTAGCAGGCTGGATAAATGTCCTCGGTGGGCCCCATGTGGCCCACAGGCCGTAGTTTGAGGACGCCTGATATATATAGAGGGTTTTTAGCATTCAGAGAAAGAAGGGGACTTGTTACTGTGCGCTAAGTTGATAAAACTTTTAGTGAATGGATTATACTTTGACAGCCAGGTAAATCTATAATATGAATTAATAATCATCTGTAATCCAAAACCTTCAGCTTTAAGAACATTATCTAGAAGTGCAATCACAGTTCCAGAAACCAGAACTAATAGACAGCAGATAATGTGATTGAAAGGCTTGGGTGCTTCTACTAATAAATCAGACTACTTACTGTCCAAGAGCATTGTTGCCAAATTTGATGTTAGAAACTTATGATTTTTACTAAGTTGGAAGATAAGATCTCGCTTCCAGTGTAGACTTGATCTATGTTACATGCAATTTTCCTCTTCCATATTAATTTTAACACAGCGTTAAAATGAGTATGACAGTCTGTGAGAAACCAAGTAATCCCAGATTAGAAGGAAAGTCTTTTTAACCAGGAAATGTTGAAATGTATGAAAATAAGAGAATAAATAAACCCCTATCACCCAACATCAAAATCTGTCAACACATGCCCATCTTGAGAATGGTTTTAGTAGTTTGGTTTATTTTTTGTTGTCTTTCATTCGTTTAGTATCCATTGTTAGGAGTGGGTTGACACTAATGCAGGATACTTTAAAAAAAATTTTGTCACAATTCTGGAGCCTGTTGTCATTCTCCTAAAGAGGAAAATAGTTGAATCAGGTAGACACAGTACCTGCAGATTCTATTGCCAGATTCTATTCCTGTTATCACTGACTTTAGAGAGAGAGAACTTGGTATAATGATCTGGAGAGAACTGGCCTCCAGTCTCTTCTGCTGTTTAATAATAGCTCTTTGATTATAGGCAAATGATGTATCTTCTCTGACCTGTAGTTTCCTCATTTGTAAAGTGAAGATGATATTACCTCTTTTCTGGTGTTTTGTAAGCGTCAGGATTATTAATTTGCCTTATTTATGAATGCTTCCAGGACCTCCATGACTCTCTGGGACACATGGTTAAGAGTGGTTACTGGCTCATATGAGGCTTATAAAAACACTCTGTTAGGCAAAATAAAGTCTTTGGTAATTTCTGTTCTAGACAGGCAGTGCCATAAAGGAGGTGGAAAAACCAGAATACCTGAATGTATTACATGTGCTTATTTTTCTTACCCACACCTTTTCACCTGAATATCTATTGCAGAAACAAATAGTTCTGTGATTTTGGTGACAGGGCTCATTGTGCCTAGCATGGTAACTAATGTCTCAGGCTATTGCTCTAGAGACTTGCTTTCTGGTTGTCACATTCTGGTGCTTATTTTTGTGATTTTAGTGCCAAATTTTAGTGCTCAAATAGTTTCATTAAGGAAATAGTTTTATTATATAATGGTTTTGATGGGGAGGGAGTGTACTATAAAACACACAGTTTTATAATAATTGAATACTTTGTAAGTATTTTACTTGGAGATGCATGTAGCATGTGCTAGACTTTAAAAGGAACAAGTCACACACACCAGCTTGTTGCACTGACTGATGTTTTGGAGATCATGATTTGTTAAAGTATATATTTTTTAATGTATTTTCTTTTGTGTGCATGGAATATTTTCAGATATGGTATATTAACTGTAAAGTTGTAGTAACTAAGCATAAAGTTGTAATGCCAAGTTTTTTACACTAATTTTTAATACTTCATTTGTTAGCAGTCTTGCTTGAATGGTCTTTTGAGCAGAACTAATACAATATTTTGATGTGCCACAGGTAAATTTTTCCATAACCTTATGGAGAGAAAGGACTTTGAGACATGGCTTGATAACATTTCTGTTACATTTCTTTCTCTGACGGACTTGCAGAAAAATGAAACTCTGGATCACCTGATTAGTCTGAGTGGGGCAGTCCAGCTCAGGCATCTCTCCAATAACCTGGAGACTCTCCTCAAGCGGGACTTCCTCAAACTCCTTCCCTTGGAGCTCAGTTTTTATTTGTTAAAATGGCTCGATCCTCAGACTTTACTCACGTGCTGCCTCGTCTCTAAACAGTGGAATAAGGTGATAAGTGCCTGTACAGAGGTGTGGCAGACTGCGTGTAAAAATTTGGGCTGGCAGATAGATGATTCTGTTCAGGACGCTTTGCACTGGAAGAAGGTTTATTTGAAGGCTATTTTGAGAATGAAGCAACTGGAGGACCATGAAGCCTTTGAGACCTCATCATTAATTGGACACAGTGCCAGAGTGTATGCACTTTACTATAAAGATGGACTTCTCTGTACAGGTAAGAGACATGAGTTGGAACTGGTTTTATGTTTTTTGTTTTTAGTTTGTTTGTATTTCATGGGTTGTAAACTTAAGAATAAACTATTCCCTGGATTTGAAAATCACAAATGTTGATTATATGAGATATCTACAGTGGCATTTTCCCCCATCCCTGAGTGGATTTTCCCCTTTTGTCCTCTTCTTTCTCTGTAGAGAAGACAGTCATTTTTGTGAAGTTTTATGAGAAAAAAAGCTTCACTTATTCTTTTAAACATAATGTGAATCAGAAAGTTGTAGATTACTTTTTTTGTGCTTTTTAATTTTTTATGTACAGTTCTGTACTTTGGTTAATTTTGTTTTTTATTTGTCAGCAATGCTTCTGGGGGAAAATTAGTGTTAATCCTAGCAAGTAGTTAGGTCATTTTGGATAAGTTACTTGACCTCTTTGTGTTTATTTCTTTGTCTTTAAAATATGGAAAGGAGATATTTCTTCCTTGCTCTTAAATACTGTGATTCAAAGACGAAATAGAAGTTGAGTTTGGGCATGTGAACAAAGAGAGTCGGATGATTTAAAACTATTTAGTAACTGTGAAACAGAATAATTGTTAAAATTTAAGAATTATGTGTGTTTCATTTATAATGGGCATATATTTCTACATATGCTTATTATCAGTGCCTATATTTTAGGCAATACTTTTTTTTGAGACAGTTTCACTCTGTCACCCTGGGTAGAGTGCCCTGGCACTACAGCTCACAGCAACCTTAAACTCTTGGACTTGAGCAATCCTCTTGCCTCAGCCTCCTGAGTAGCTGGGACTAGGCATCTGCCACAATATACAGCTAGTTTTTCTATTTTTAGTACACATGGGATCTCAGTCTTACTCAGGCTTGTCTTAAACTCCTGAGCTCAAGCAGTCCACCCACCTTAGCCTCCCTGAGTGCTGGGATTACAGGAGTGAGCCACCACACCCGGCAAGGCAATGCTTTTTAACTGGCAATCTAAATACTTCTTAGGTAGTGTTTAGAATCGCTCCAGGAAGTTCTTACCAGTGATCTCATGGCTATTTACTTACATTCTATATAATATGTAGGGATACTTGGTGTTAATTTTTCGTTCAAGATAATAATTTCTAATAGTTGTCATTTTTAATAAGTATAAATTGCTCCTTTGTGTGAATACAGTCAACTTATCATTATTTAGCCATTTCCGTATTAGTGATGACTATCTTTGCTTGCTTTTTCCCCCCTTCAATTATTTGAGACAGATGCTTAAAAGGAGAATCAACAGATCTAGAAGTAGGAAAGATTTTATAATTCCCCTTAGTGTCCTTTCTGGGTAGATTGGATTGATGCCATGCCCACGGTAGTCTTAAGTAACTTGTTTCTCCCTCTGAGTCTTAGTAAACTTGATTTTAGTATTTTTAGTAGTTAAGAGATATGCCATTTCTTCAGACTGTTTTAAAACTGCATTTCTTTATTCATTAAGGGTATACATTTTGCCATATGGTGATACATATTCTCTGAAAGGCTAGGCACTTTGCCAGTTATAGAAAATAATCATTCAGGTTAAGGCATTTCATGGTTTGGTTTGTCATCCTGAATTACTTCACTCTTGAATTATTTTCCCTGTCTTATAAGCCTGATATCAGAATGACATCATCAGTTCTTCTGTACTTTACTTATACTTGCCTAGTTGTGATGATGGCTTTTCCATGTCTTGCCTCATGACCTTTGGCGGGTATTTTTCAAAGATTAAGGTACAATATTATCTTAGAGCCTAAAGCTCTTTTCTACTTAGGGAAATATTGGCAGTTGACTTGTATTCACAACCACCTCTAGCTTTTTAAAGTTTTTTATCCTCTCTCATGTGTTACTTTTGAAATGCAATAAAATCCCTTTTGAGGTGGAAGTAAATGAAAAATACTCACTGAATTCTCTAACTACCTGGAAAGGTAATACCTACAAGATAATACCTGTCTGCATATAGATCGGTCTGTATGTTAATTTGATTTTTATTCTGATTCAATTCATTAGGTTCTCTTATCGAGAATTATGCTGTACTGTAGATATTGAAAATAATCCAAAGCCTTGAGTATTTTCAAAGCATTGGTTTTATTTCCCTAACAGCAGCATTCCTGGGACTGTTACTAGTGCGAGAAATATTCATTGCAGAATTATACATGTGTTTGTGTCATCTTGTTACCAAAGACAGTGAATTTTCACTGTGGTCAAATTGGTAAATCCTGAATTTGGCAATAAACTTATACTCTCAGACTAGCACCTCAAGCAAGCAATAGGCAGTATTACTACAGATATTGTTGACTAATGCTAACAATTGATATGGTTTAGATTGAGGCAGTTATCGTTCTGTTCTGCATTTTATTTCTGAAATGGTAAGAAAGGAATTAGCTTTGTGCTGCTTGATAGATATTTATGAAACGCCTATGACTTGGAAATGTGAAGGCATACATAGATAAATTAGAACAACAACAAAAAAAGCTTACTCAGTTGGCCAGCAAAGTCAGATGCCTCAGAGAAGTGGTTGAGGGTTGAGATAAGATTCTACCAGTTAAATATTTAAACTTGATAAGATAGTTTACTCCATTTGGGTTGCAGCTCATTTTTCTGCCTATCTTTGTTACATACCTACCCCTTACTTTTTCATTCTATTTTCTGAATTGAGAGGGATTTTTTTTCTTCAGGACATGTGAAATGGCCCATGTTATTCTTCTTTCACTTCAGGTTAGTGTGTTCAGCAGATGGGAGTCCAGAGGAGAGGCTGACAAAAGCAGGAAAGGAACAGAGAACTGTGGCTCCTAAAGGATTAGCAGTTAGCAGTGGACTTGGACTGCTGTAAAATGGAATTCGACCTGGTTATTTTTTTGACACTTGTTTAAGGCGTAAAACTGAGTGGCACAGCATTTTCTTGTATAAAATAGTTTAAATAACTAGTTTGAATAATTAGTTTTTTTTTCAAATTGTGGTAAAATACACATAACCTAAAATTTACCATTTTAACCATTTTTAAGTGTATAGTGCAGTGCCATTGGGTACATTGACATTGTTGTGCAGCCTTCACCACCATCCATCTCCAGAATTTTTTGCATCTTCCCAAACTGAAACTATATTAGTTAAATACTAACTTCCCATTCCGTCCTCCCCCCAGCTAGTGGCAACCACCATTCTACTTTCTGTCTGTGAATTTGATTACCCTAGGAACCCCCTATAGGTGGACTCATCCCTTAATTGTTCTTTTTTGATTTGCTTATTTCACTTAGTATGTGTTCAAGAATCCTCCATGTTGTAACATGGGATAACTTCATTCCTTTTTGAGGCTGAATAATATTCCAGTATCTGGGCTCAGCACTTGTGGCTCAAGCGGCTAAGGCCTCAGCCACATACACCAGAGCTGGCAGGTTTGAATCCAGCCCGGGCCTGCCAAACAACAATGACAACTACAATCAAAAAATAGCCTGGTGTTGTGGCAGGCACCTATAGTCCTGGCCACTTGGGAGGCTGAGGCAAGAGAATCACTTATGCCCAGGAGTTGGAAGTTGCTGTGAGCTGTGACACCACGGCACCCTATCCAGGGCGACAGCTTGAGATTCTGTCTCAAAAAAAATTCTACTGTCTGTGTATGCCACATTTGGTTTATCTTCTTCCTTAGTTTTTACTTAGCTTTCTTCTGATTTTTCCTCCTTCAGACCATTTTCCATGGTATAGCCATAATGATCTCTCAGAAATGTAAATGAGGTCATAGTTAAACATCCTCCTGACCCAATTCTCCAGCCTAACCTTGCTGCTGTTTCCCAGTCAGACTCCACTGTTTTTATAACCAGCGTTCATGTTTTAGGCAGTGTGTTGTGATAAGTGTCATAAAATTAATAGGCAGTTTTAGAATGTTTCCAAATAGTTCTTTATGAATTGGCCCCAGTGATTATTCACATATTTTATCCCAGAGATTGACAAACCATGGACTTTGGGTGAAATCTAGCAGAATAGAATAATTGCAACAGAAATTATATGGCTTATGAAGTCTAAAATATTAACTATTAAGTCGTTTACAGATAAACTTTTACTCACCTATGCCATATAGTATTCCTTTTTGAAATACTATTTATTCTTTTTTGGCCTAGTTAACTTATTCATCATTTATTTATTTACTTATTTTTTAAAACAGAGTCTCTGTTGCCTCAGGCTGGAGTGCTGTGGCATCATATCTCACAGTAACCTCAAACTCCTGGGCTCAAGCTATCCTCTTGCTCCAACCTCCTGAGTAGCTGAGACCACAGGTGCCCACCACAACACCTGGCTAATACTTTTTCATCCTTTAGATTTCAATTAGTTAAAACTTAGAAGTTTGTTTATTTATTTATTTATTTATTTTGAGACAGAGTTTCACTGTGTTGCCATTTGTAGAGTGCTGTGGTGTCACAGCTCACAGCAACCTCAGACTCTTGGGCTTAAGCAATTCTCTTGCCTCAGCCTCCCGAGTAGTTGGGACTACAGGCACCCAGCACAACGCCTGACTATTTTTTTGTTGCAGTTGTCATTGTTGTTTGGCAGGCCTGGGCTGGGTTTGAACCCGCCAGCCTGGGTGTATGTGGCTGGGGCTGTAACCACTGTGTTATGGGCACTGAGCCAAAACTCTGAAGTTTTTTAAGCTATGAAATTTCTTCTTCAAATGATCCCATACTGATGCCCAGCTTAAAAGCAAATAAAAGGGGGTCATAGTTGAAGATGCAATCATGACAGCTCCTGGACATGTTTGTAGAACACCCACATGTTGAGGAGCACAATTGTAAACTCAATAGAACTTCACCTGAGACATTTTCTCTTTGTATTTGCTATGGGCTTTTGTACTGCCTACCACTTAACTGTACTGAATTATTATATCTTATTTAGCCTCTTTGTCTTCCCAAAGACAAAAAGTCTAAAGTAGACCCAAGTAGACTGAGTGCCATGAGAACAGGAGCCCTGCCTGTCACAGAAGTTTTATAAATATATGGTGAATGAATG